TGAGGATAGGAGTGCAGGCTAGGAGAGTTAGCCGGTGGTGCAGGCCCAGGGAAGCAGAGAGAGGTGAGGGCGGGGCCAGGACCAGAAGTGGTGCTCCTGGGGCCCAAGAAAGGCACTAAGTTGGTCTGGGTGAGAAGGATCAGGAAGCAGTATTGGTTCCCCAGGTGTCTGGGGCCCCAAGACTAGGAATGGCGCAGGTCCCAAACTGGGAGTAGCGAACAGCGGGGGAGATGGAAGGGTGAATGTGTTTTGGGGAGTCAAGGCGGGGAGGCCTGCGCTATAGACTTATCCCAAGAGGCCTGAGGATAGGAGTCAAGTGGGCAATTTTTAAAATAAAAAAAAAATACCATGCGTCAAAGAATAAATGAAAACTGGTCCAATCTGGTTAGAACCACCAGGCCGGAGGTAATAGCGGGGGAGATGGAAGGGTGAATGTGGCTTGGGGAGTCAAGGCGGGGAGGCCTGCGCTATAGACTTATCCCAAGAGGCCTGAGGATAGGAGTCAAGTGGGCAATTTTTAAAATAAAAAAAAAATACCATGCGTCAAAGAATATATGAAAACCTGTCCAATCTGGTTAGTAACACCAAGTCTCAGGTTAATATTTTCCCCTATCAAACATGAAGTTCAGAGAATGAGGCAGTGTGTAGTGAATTATATAAATACACTGCAGGAAAGCAACTAGACAATTTAGCAACATGTCAAAAATCCTTATTATTTTATGTATTTTTTTCAATTATACTCTTTAGAACATATTCTAAGGAAATAAACACATGTATTTACCAAGAGTTTAGCTGGTAGAATGGTCATCAAAGCATAATAAACATTAATAACCAAATAATCAAATCCTCACTTGGAAACCTGAGTTAAATAAATCATAGCACATTTACCAAGCAAGAAGAAAAGAAAATTGGTTCTCAGTCACAATACATATTTCAGTATCTTTCATTCCCCTTGACTTCATCCTGAACTCCAGAATATTCCATATACCTTTTCTTGAGGATTCTATTCTCTACTACAGTCAGTCTTGTCTCTGTATGAGCTAAAGAACCCCAAATCCTCAATGTACATAACATCTTTGTTGTATGACAGTATCTGGTCATAGCCAATTATTCTCCAGGATTACAGGTACATTGAGTAAAAACCAACACTTCAATTGACTGCAATTTCTAAGATTCAGAGAGGCAAGATGATAGTAAAAGGTCCCTTCAATACTGAGAGGTTCTAGGATCCCAACAAGATTAAGGTACTGGCTACACTCCATAATAAAAACAATAATAACAGCTGGGTTCAATTGAGCAATTACTATTAACAAGTATATTTCTAAACCCTTCCAATGCATTATCAGTCATTTAACCTTCACAAAAGAATCTTTAGTGAATATTATTATCATCATTATCATCATCATCCCCCTTCTACTGAAGATAAAAGCAAGGCACATAGATGAATAACAGCTAGTCCAAGGTTACACAACTGGTAGGAGGTATAGCCAGTACTTATAGTTTGCTTCCAGAGCCTGCATTTTAAATCAAAATGATTCAATTTCCATTCAAAGATTAAATAAGATTATTTCTAACATTATATAAGTTGAGTCTTATTTCAAGAACTCTGTTTCAACATTTCCATACAAAGCTTTGCTTGACCTTCTTCAAACAGAGTATACCATGGCCAAGAAGATTGCGGTGATTGGAGCTGGTGTGAGTGGCCTGTCCTCCATCAAGTGCTGCTTGGATGAGAACCTGGAGCCCACCTGTTTTGAGAGAAGTAGTGACTTTGGGGGACTCTGGAAGTATGCGGTACATGATTCACATCTTCCTACCTCCAGAGATTGAAATTGGCCTTGCACTTCTGCTCACTCATGGCAGCTTTAACCTGCCTTGACAATCAAAGAAGGAAGTAGTTCACTGCATCAACCCAAACATGTATATGGGGCAGTAGTAAACACTCTGCCTGATGTAGTCTGAGGAGTGAGGCCCCTTAAGAATAGGCAGAGCATTGTCCAGGACACAGAACAGAGAAGGGGGAAAAGAGTGAAATCTGATAAGATAAACATAGTTTGAAATTTTGTGATCATTTCTGGACCTGGACATTCTAAAAACATCAAGTGTCTGGTTAGCTGGACAACCTTGGAGAATAAGGAGCAGACAACAAACTTGGTAAAGATGCAGGTGGAGTGAAGAAATGGAGACAACTCCCAGGCGTGGTTCAGGTCTTATGGAAGAGAGCTGGCAAGAAGGAGGGAAGCAGGTGTGGTGGGAAGTGGAGTAGCTTTCTCATTATCAGAGCAGGAAGGACTCAGGAACTGACCAGTCCTTTCAGAGAAGTAGAATATGCAGTCTGGGGCACTATGTTCAGGGCCTAGCCAGTTGTCTGCAACTTGAGCATCAGAAAATGAGTCTAAAAATGGGTAAATAGCATCTGCCTCAGGCTAAGATTGGTCCTGGCTGCAAAGTAGTAAGGTATTTTATGAGATTAAGGGGTGTCCCAGCGGAGGAGCACAAGAATGCTTTAAAGGTGGAATCCAGGCAGGCACAACTACTAAACATACTCAGAAGAGAAGATCAGTGTTCATTCCACTGGTATGAATGTGGGAAGGAGAGGGGAGACTACCATTATCCAGTATACTATAAGCCTCATCAAGCTACCAAATGTCAAAGTGGAAGAAAAAGGAAAATCTTGGGGCCGGTTTGTGTAGCTTCTGCTATTTGACTCTACAGCTTGTTTGTGAACTTTATCTTATTCAAAAATAATAGAGATTAATTTGAGAAAAATATTGAGTTAACCAAAAGGAAAAATACTGATTAAACATAGTAACAGTACTCACAGGCAAATGATATTAAATTTCAAGGTAGTTTTTCCAATCATCTATATGTTGGGTTTTTTTTTCCTCCAAGAAGATACAAGTAGTATTTATTTTCATTCATTCAACATATATTTATTATGTCCCTCTGCCGGGACACAATGGTACATAAAATAGACAGGAACCCTACCCTCAGTATAGTCTAGAAGGGAACAGAAACAGCAAAGAGATCATTACAATGCAGTGTGAGCAGCTTTATTGCAGAGATCCACAGTGCTATACTCCCAGAGCAGCTGCCCGCTGCAGACTATTATGTGCTAGAAGACTTCAAAGGGAAGGTGAAGGGAAGGAAGATATAGGGAGAAATGCAGATTAGCTTCAGTCACAGGAAGGTCCTTGATGCCTTTAATACAAATATTTTTGTTTTGCTTTTGAGTGATAGATATCAAGAGATCAGAGAACATGTTGGGAAATGCAGGAGAAAACAGAGGTGACCTACATAGGCTGAGATAGAAGGGAGAGAGAAAGGGCAATTGATAGGGTTGTTTTCTTCTTAAAAATTAGTATTGGGTATTTTTAATGCTGATGGGAAGGAGCCAATAAGAAAATATACATGAGGTACATGAGAAAAACTATCAAGGGGTTCCCTGAAGAAAGGCAAAGAGGAAACTGTCCAGAATGTGAGTGGAGAGAGTAGCTATGACAGGTAAAGAAAAAACGGCCAGCGAAGACTGACTCTCATTCATGGACTCATTCAAGGGCAATGTTAGTGCTATTATCGGCTTCCTTGTGATAGGGCAAAGATACTGCATTTAATTATTCCAGTCCCACTAAGGATATCTTATCATGACAGCACAGATATCCAATGCTTGGTTTCCTAGAACTCTTTAAAATTTTAATTAGAACACTAACTGCTCTGAACTCCTTTTACCTGGACATTCATAAGCTACCAAGATCTCTGTTCTGGGTATGCATAAACCACCAAGATCTACCTGTTCCTTCTTTCCCTCACACTAAATACACCTCCACAACAGGAAACTTCCAATGATGGGATGACCAGGGTCTACAGGTCACTAGTGACAAATGTCTGCAAGGAGATGTCATGTTACAGTGACTTCCCATTTCAAGAAGACTACCCCAATTACATGAGCCATGAGAAATTCTGGAACTATCTCCGAGAATTTGCAGAGCACTTTGACCTCCTGAAATATATTCGGTTTAAGGTAAGATAGTTTGGGTTGTGGAAAGTCCATGATTGGAGGCTGGCCTCTTCAGCAGTCTAGGGTAAATAAGATGAGGCAGCACATGTTTTCTTGATTTTTATCTTGGTGTGTATTAGGTAAATAATGGCCTCCTCCATGCTCCTCCTGATTCTTCCTCTAGTGTCAAACTCTCATTTAGGACAAAACTTATAATTTTTTCCTGAGAAGAAAGTAAGAATAATTTTGTTTATGAAACCCATCAGGAAGAAACAACTATAACTCTCAATCATAAAAACAATAATGGAGGAAAGTTCAATTTCCTGTCTTTTCCCAGTACATCAGGAATTTTATCTCATTTCCCTCCCTCCAGGAAAAACTGCTTTATCCTTCCAGTGAAAGAATTTGGCTGTCTTAAGTCCTTGTTCACATATAACCACCTTTGAGAGTGTGCATGTTACTTAACTTCTCTGGGAACAAGATAACTGATACTTATAGACTTCGTACCATAGGAGTTAGTCCATTTAAAATAACAGAGCTGGGCTGGAAGGATAGCGCAGCCATTAAAGGTTAAGGCTAACAACCAAAACATTTAAATAACAGACACTGGTGCTGTGCCAGTCACTGTGTGAGGTTCAAAGGTTTTGACAGAGTGTATGTCTTTTGCTAATAGACTACCGTGTGCAGCGTAACTCAACGTCCAGACTTCTCTGAAACTGGTCAATGGGATGTTGTCACTGAGACAAATGGCAAGCAGGACAGAGCTGTGTTCGATGCTGTCATGGTTTGTACAGGGCATTTCCTGAGTCCCAATTTACCTTTGGAGTCCTTCCCTGGTGAGTCAATTCTACCTGGGACCATTACTACTCTTTTGGGTTCTTCTAGAAGAAGAAAAGTGAATTGAAAAACTGTAATTGAAATTACTTCATCGTACTTATAGACAATGTTATATTCGCTTGAAAATAATGTGTTCAGGATTATTTTGAATGACACAAAATACTATTTGTGTGCAGTTTTATTATTTTTATTATTATAAATAGCTATGGTTGAAGCCTTATCCTGCATGTCTACTTCAAGTTCAGTGATCAAATAAGACTCAAACTATCTGATCTGTCATTTTTAAAAAGCTTTAATTTGGCAGGGCATGGTGGTGCACGCCTTTAAACCCAGCACTTGGGAGGCAGAGGCAGGCAGATCTTTGTGAGTTTGAGGCCAACCTGGTCTACATAGTAAGTTCCAGGACAGTCAGAGGCTACATAGGAGACCCTGTCTCAAAAAGACAAAAAAAAATCTTTAATTTGGGGAGTTGAGTTACAGGTCATATGAATCAGGAATGACCTATAATTCAAAAACTTGAGGGAAGTGAGTGTACATGGAAGCTTAACAGGTTCTTTGTAAAGAATGCAAACCAGAAATCATGCATACACATTAATAAATCCAGTGTTTAAAATAGTCTATTGCCCCTCTCAGATCAGAGCATTTCACAATACCATTTTGGAATCAGTTCAGTTTATTTTATCAATACATTTATGATACGCAAATTTCTACCTTTGAAGTCATAACATTCAGAAAGCTGAGATCTATTCAAATTCAAGTGTGGAAAATAAAATTAGTAAAGTGAGGGACTGCTAATCTGTAGAGCTAATCTTCTGTCAGTTCTTAGTGACCCTGAAAGCATGAGTAAGTAAAGTTTTGTGGTTTTGTTTTTCATATGTGTGTGTTATACGCTCATGTGTGTAGGGGCACAAAGGCATGAGGTATCTTAACCTTTCGCCTTCCACCTTACTCCCTTGAGACAGGGTCTCTCACTGAACCTGGAACTAAACTGGTGGCCAGCAAGCCCCAGAAGCTTCCTGTCTCCACCCCTAACAGTACTGGGGCTCCAGTCATGCACCAGGTGGTGCCTGACTTTTCCATGGGTGCTGAGATCCAAACTCAAGTCCTCAATCTTTCAGAGCAAGCTCTTACCCAGTGAGCCATCTCTCCAGCCACTTGAATTTTCCTTTCAAGGAAAACCATGAAATATAAAATCTTATAAAAAGCAATCACAATTAAATAGAATATTATATTTAAAATGTGTTTAGGACTCAGGTGAGAATTCAATCCATAATTTCTCAAGAAGAAATATTATAAAAAGTGTCTGAGCTTCACTGTTGTTCCTGTCCTTTACCTCTTCCAGTCACATTTCTATGAGAAAAATGGCTTACACGTGCCATGCCGCTTATCTGTTGGAGTCTCGTTGACATGTTGTACAAAGCCCTTTTAAGCAGGCATTAGATGGCCCCTCTCCCACATGACCATCATCTGGTCCACATAAAAGATGCATCATACCCTGTCAATAGTGGACTGAGCACTCACTGAAAGCACATCCACCATCCCTGCAGTCAGTTCCAAACAGCCATTAAAGCATGGATCAGACACCAGCTCCCGTAGACCCTCTGAGCCAAGGTCTTAGCATCGCTGACACCTGGTTAAATGTCTATAGACAGGAAAATAAACCACAGCACTTTCCAAGTTCATCCAATTTCCACCTCCTGGCTGCTTCAGTTTCAGACCCTCAAAGAGGATGTAAAGCTAAGGATCAGAAAACTGACCCCCGTATGTATTTTTTTCAAATTCTGCATAGTTGGCTTGAGCACTTGGAGGGCCGTAACTGCTGCTTGGTTTCCATTTGGGGGAACTCAGCAGAAAAAGAATATGATTAAAAATTTTTGCTTATATTTTGTTCTATATTATGGACAGTCAATGTTCCTAAGTGGAACTGAATCAGTGACTATTAGGAAAATGATAAAATCTAGGAGGAAGCTTGATCTTTGTGCATTAAAAGTTCCAAAGCACGTACAACTGTCTAGTCCTCTAAACTACTGAGCTTCACCACCTGACTCTTTGTGCTTCATCCCACCTGTCTGTGGGGCTGACAGTCACTGTCCTTGTCACCAGCATTTCCTGTCACTCTGAGAGTTACCACTGGGGATACCTACACTATAAAAGCCCTACCTCACTGTTACTAGCAAGGCAATGGTTCATGTCTTTCATATCTTCAGGGATACCCAACTAAGTAGAAAGGAAAAATACTTGACAACTCTTCTTATATAAATATCATAATTGCCATGCTTCCTTTCCAAACTGAATGCCTGATTGCTCTGTTAGGATTTCCAGTAATACACTGAATAAGAGTGATGGACATGGGCATCTTTGCCTTGTCTCTGATTGCAGTAGGACGCTTTCAACTTTTCCCCATTCATTATGATGTTAGCCATGGGCTTATTTTAATATGACTGCTTTTATATTCATGTATGTTCCTTCTAAATTTTTTCATTGTTATTTTTATATTGGGGGGGTGTATGTGTGACACAGCACATATGAAGTCAGAGAGCAGCTTGCAGGAGTTGGTTCTCTCCTTCCATCATGTGTGTTCCGGGAACTGAACTCTGATTGTCAACCTTGGTGGAAGCACTCTTACCTGCAGAGTCATCTCACTGGCCTCAGAGTCATCTCACTGGCCTCGACATCATGAAAAGATGTCAAATTTTAATCAAAAGCCTATCATACATCTATTTAGATGTGGCAATTTTATTGCTTTCAATTGTAGCTATGTATTATTGTAGTTATTTTTAATTATTTTGGTTGTTAGCTTTCATGATTTATGCATTATATTTATAATAAATACTTTAAATTTATCTGTATTATTGCTCTTACCAGTGAATTTCACAGCTTTTCATTTTTCCTTTTACTCCATTGTAATCTCTTCTGTTTGTAAAACTTCTATTAGCATTTCTTGTAGGCTAGATAAAGTGATAAAGTCTCCACTTCTACTTCTCTGGAAAGACTTTTCTTTATTCCTTCATTTCAAAGGGATGGCTTTTCTGGTTTACTATTACAAAATCACATTATATAGTAACGCTCTACTGAGTAAAACACCATGCAGCTGCACCTGGTTTGCTGCTGTTGTTTTGGTTTGGTTTGGTTTTCTGGCTTATTCAGTATCTAAGAGAAAATGTTAAGCACATATTTAGATGTAAGAGTATAGCAACCAATAGATTATAGTTGGACATAGTACAGTACATGGGAATATCATAACACAGGACTAGAAATATTCTGTCTTGCCTAGGATATTTAAGAATGATACATGGAATGTTTCTCATTGTCTGCAATGACTCTGATTCCCCAAAGTACTTACATTAAAAAGGAACACTCCTGCCAGGTGTGATGGTGCACACCTTTAATGCCAGAACTCAGGAGGCAGAGGCAGGAGGGTCTCTGTGAGTTCAAGGCCAGCCTCTCTATGTATTGAGTTCTAGGCCAGCCATGACTAAACAGTGAGACCATGTCTCAAAAAATAAAATAAAAATAAAGGGAACACTCTTATGGAATTATCTTTTCTTTTACATTTTTGTGGGTATATAAGTGTGTGTGTGCACACCGTAACACACATGTGGAAGTCAGAGGATAAATTGCAAAAGTCAGTTCCCTCTTTCCACCATGTGGCTTCTAGGGATTGAACTCAGGTCATCAAGTTTGGCAGCAAGCACCTTTACTCATGAGCCATCTCTATAGCCCTGATCAGTTCTTTGTTTTCGGTTTTAAGTTTTGTTTTGGTTTGGTTTTTTGAGACAGGGTCTCTATGTGGTCCCAGCTGGCCTGGAACTCCCTATGTAGACTATCCCAGGGCTGGCATCAATCACAGAGATCCACCTATCTCTGCCTCCCGAGTGCTGGGATTAAAGGTGTGCGCTACTACACCTGGCTTATGATCAGTATTTTTAACAAGGCAGGTTGTAGGAGATCTGCACTTGGGCTCACTGCATTCCCAGAGAGAAGCACCTTATGCTCCTCCTTCCTGCCACTAATGGCAGAAGCAAAGTGCTGTCAAATTTCTGGGACTTCCCTATTGCTGCATACTGGGGAATTATTGCTTTAGATATTTCAGACCCTTTCTTTTCCTTTCTTTTCCCTCCTTCAGGAATCCATAAGTTTCAAGGTCAGATCCTACACAGCCAAGAGTACAGGATTCCAGACCCCTTTCAAGACAAGCGCGTCCTAGTGGTTGGTCTTGGGAACACTGGTGGAGACATAGCAGTGGAGCTCAGTCAAAGGGCAGCTCAGGTACACCATTTCTGAATCAACGTCCCCACCCCTGTCAGCATGGGTGACTGGAGAGAAGTAGTCAAGGCTACAAAACACACTGGCCAATTGCTAAATTGTGTTGGCATGGGGTAAGTGGTTAAAAAAAAAAAAAAAAGCCCCAAAGCCACTCTTGGTCTGTTCTTTTAGAAGACTCACATTACAGAACTGAGCAATCTCTAAAAGGAGTCCAGAGAAACTGTGTGGATGGGAAACCTCCAGGCATTTATAGAAGTGATCTTTTCAGGAAAAAGACCAATTAGGCAAATCATTCCACAGAGGGCTGATCTCTATTTCATATTCTTTGTCTTCCTTCCTTCTTTCCCACCTCTCCCTCCCTGTGTCCCTACCTGCACTCCTTCCTCCCCTCCTTTTCCCCCTTCCTCTCCTTCCACCTCTCTCTTATTTTTCTCTTTTGAGATAGGGTCTCACTGTGTAGCCTTATCAGGCCTCAAACTCTTGCCTCAGACTTCCAAATTCTGGGATAATAGACATGTATAACCACACCCAGTCATCTTTCTTTTACATACACCTGTGAAATTCTGTCAAAACCCCACATAAGAGCACATAGATATCCCCCGTAATGGTGCATGCCTTTAATCCCAGCACACAGCTATAGGCAGGTGGATCTCTATGAGATCAAGACAAGCCTGGTCTATGTAATGAGTTCCAGGTAACTGGGTTTACAGGGAGACCCTCTCTCAAAAATCAAAAACAGGGGCTGGAGAGATGGCTCAGCAGTTAAGAGCACTGCCTGCTCTTCCAGAGGACCCGGGTTTGATTCCCAGCACCCACATGGTGGCTACAAACTGTACTTAACTCCAGTTCCAGGGGAATCTGCAGCACTCTTCTGACCTCTGTGGCATTGCACAACATGGGTGCACTCACATACATGCAGGCAATACACTCATACACATAAAATAAAAATAATAAATAAAATATTTATTTTAAAAAATCAAAAAACAATAAAAGCAAAAACAGAATCTAAAGGTGAGATTGTTTCCAAATGTCTTCAACTCTTCTTTTAGAAATCAGATTTCTTCTGTTTTAAGATAAAAGCAATCCTCAATTTGTTGAGTATACACGATGTTTTTTTATATTTTGTTTATTATTTTTATGTGTATGAGTGTATTGCCTGCATGTGTGTAAGTGCACCTGTGTCATGCAATGCCTTTGGAGGTCAGAAGAAGGCATTGGAGTCCCCTAGAACTGGAATTATGTATGGATGGATGGTTGTTAGCTGTCATTTTGGTGCTGGGAATTGAACCTGGGTCCTCTGCAAGAGCAGGCAATGCTCTTAACTGCTGAGCCATCTCTCCAGACCCATACATGATGATTTTTAAAAATTCCAAACAACTCAAAAATTAGAGACTTGTTACACTTGCATAAATTATATCAAAATTATGAGATCTCAGAAAAATAGATTTGCACTGAGTTTGGCTAAAATTTCTTTTCTACACTTTCTTTAATTTCTACATTATTTATATATTTAAAAAATAATATTGCTAGAGCTGGACCTGGGGAGATAAATGGGCCTGGGTTCAGTCTTAGGAATGGCACCTGAGGTTGACCTCTGACCTCCACATGCACCTGCACACACATTCAGTGCACATTTGCACACGTATGTGCACTCACACACAAAATTGCCAGACAACATATTATACCTACAAATATTATAATCCTATTCTTACAATTCTATAAACATAATGAAGATACTTAACATATATAAATGAAGTGATGTGTTTTTAGAATAATCATACCAACAGAAACATCATCACATATAGATCTATATTAGAAACCCAGAATATTATTATAATTTGAAACATATCAAAAATACTACAAAGTGGCAGACCTGTATTTACCCTTCTTGCTTTGCTTTTCAGGTAGTTCTCAGCACTAGAACTGGCACTTGGGTTATCAGCCGCTCCTCAAGTGGGGGCTACCCATTTAATATGATGAATACAAGAAGATGGTATAATTTGATTGCACGAGTTCTGCCTTCGCGTTTCCTAAGCTGGAATCAAGAGAGGCAGATGAATAAGATATTGAACCATGAGAATTATGGATTAACTATTACAAAAGGGTACTTAATTTTTCATTTTGTGAGAATTTTCTGTTTATCTTATTTTTTACTAAGATGTATAAATTTCACGTGTCAATGGAGTTCCATACATGCATACAGCAGCCACTGTTCAAATACAACCTCCTTTTTCCACCCTTTTTCTGTCCCATATCCTTCCCATCTCTCTTTATTAGTCACTATTCTGATTTCAGCTTCCACATAAGAGAAAGAATATGTAGCACTTGTCTTTCTGTGTTACTATCTCATTCAACATATCTTTCAAGTCCACTAATTTTCTATATATGAAAAGATTTCACTCTTGTCTGTGGCTGAAAATACTCCATTGTATGGTGTGTGTGTGTGTGTGTGTGTGTGTGTGTGTATCACATTTTGCATTCATTTGTTGGTGAGCACTTTAGCTGATTCTATACTTTAGCTACTGTGAATAATGCCACAATAAAAATGAACACATAAGTATCTCTTTTGCATACAGCTTTCATTTCCTTTGGATATTTTCCCAGAAGTGGGAAAGATGGACCATATGGTAGATAAGATACTACTCAGTCTTTTGAAGCACCTCTATGATATTTCCCAACAATAGTCATTCCAACTGCAGTGAGGTGGCATGTTACTGTAGTTTTGATTTGAATTTCTTATGGGAAACGTTTAAACCAACATTTCTCATTCTATGTTATTCAGAACTCAGCATGTTCAATATAGCATTATCCTAGTTTATTGTCCTGTAAACTTATTTCCCAAAGACTGCTCAAGTTCCACAGCAGTTCTTGAAATAGGCATAGTCTCTGTCTAGCAACATAAGTAGTAAATTCATAAGGCTAGAATACAGTGAAGGATGGTAACTTTGATTTCCAGTTTGAAAGGAAATTTCAGTGGGCTTTGAGGCATCTTGAAACTGCTACCATCCAGAAAGCAGATGCTCAGCCTTCATTTCCTGTAATAGTGAATGTCTATTCTGACTGTGATCAGGGGTATGAAATCATGAAGAGAATTCCTGAAATGATGCATTCTAATATACCACCGTATATTAGCAAGAAAAAGAAAAGCTTTGAACCGCGTGCAGTGTCACACAGTGATTTAGTATATGCCTGACCCAAACATTCTTTAGCAACATATGTTTCAAATTACAAGAAAAAACAAGTCACAGAGGATGATCCACCTGTCAATTTTATATAGACTCTATGTTTGATATAATTGGGCAATGATGCTCACAATGAAAACAGCTATTCATGAAAATAGCCTCACAATTTTTATTTTTAGACAAATACTTTCTTATTGATTTCCTCTTGGCCTAAGATTATTTCTGGAAGCCTATGACAATTAAATTGATCAACAAATGACTTGTTGTATAGTCTGACATTACACTTTAATCATTGTTGGGCTAGGGGTATAGCTCAGTGGTAAACCACTTGCCTAGCATTTGTGAGGCCCTTGGCTCAATCGCCAAATCAGAAAAGAAAAAGAAGGAAGGGAAGAAAAGAAGAAAGCATTGCTCCAGAAGTGAATTCCAATGGAAAAAGATTTGTAAATCAAGGCCTAGTGAGATGGCTCAGGGGTAAAAGCACTTGCTGCCAAGCCTAACAACCTGAGTTCAGTCCCCAAAATCCATGTGATGGAAGGAAAGAACCTATTTCTGCCTGTTTTCTCTGACCTCCACACATGCACACAATGGTACTCAGGAATGTGCACACACACACACACACACACACACACGCACGCATGCACGCACACACAATAAAGGGATAAATGTAATAAAAAGGAGAGAGAGTTGTAAGTCAAATCAACAAAGAGTAATAATTTTCCACATGCTTCTGAGAAAGCAAGGAAATAAAGCATGTCATAAACAGTAAATCAGGTAACAACTGAGTTAGACACTGGTCAATCCACTTCCTTGGTGTGGCAGATAATTTTCTTCAAGTGGCTGAAGAAATCATTTGCTAAAGTCTTTGGGAGATATAACTACAATGAATTTTTTCCCCTCTGTGTCAAAGGACAAAAAAGAAATTTATTGTGAATGACGAGCTCCCATTCTGCATCCTCTGTGGGAAAGTGGCTGTGAAAACCAGCGTGAAGGATTTTACAGAGACCTCTGTTATCTTTGAAGATGGGACAGTAGAAACCAACATTGACGTCGTGATCTTCGCTACAGGATACAGATTTTCTTTTCCCTTTTTGGAAGAACCCCTCAAAAGCCTTTGTACAAACAAGGTCATCCTATACAAGCAAGTTTTTCCCCCAAACCTAGAGAGAACAACATTAGCCATCATTGGCCTTATTGGCCTTACTGGGTCCATCTTAGCAGGCACAGAGCTCCAAGCACGATGGGCCACAAGGGTATTCAAAGGTATGTTTACTCTGTTTAAACATAAACACAATTAATTGAATCTTAAAATTAGTGCCCTGCCATTTAAGTAAAATCAAACGAATGTGAATTAAAGTGATATAAAGTATTAGAAGCAACTAAATGCACAATTCACCATATGTGTGCCATTGTATAAGAGGTGTGTATATGTCACTGTGTCTGACTGGGGGTGGGGAGCAAGCTATGCTGACTCTGTGGACAGGATTAATTTAGCAAAAAGAATTAATCAAATTTTTCAGATTAACTGAATTTATTGGAAACAAAGTTTCTATTCTGCTTGAGTCCAGTCTTTCCATTTGTTATTAAAAGTAGAATTTATATAGCTTCTAAGGATAGAACATTGAGATAATACATTGAGAGAGAGAGAGAGAGAGAGAGAGAGAGAGAGAGAGAGAGAGACCTGAAGAGAGTGAGCAACTATCAGCTATGGTGGGGCAGAGACATCGCTCCAGACTGCAGCCTACAGGCTGAGGCATTTCGTTCAGTCTTGGGAACTCCGCTCAATCAAAGCCAAATCCTTGGCTTCATCACAGGAAAGAATTTCAGGACAAGCAAGTGGGAAGCAGACCTGTAGTTAAGGCACACCTGGGTTTCTCAAAAAAAAAAAAAAAAATGTCTTACAGTAACCATACATAGTGTTTGGGTGACTTCTGAAGTTACGTCTTAAGGATTGCAAATGAACTTAATTGAGAGCACAGTGTGGGTTCTATGCATTGGACAGGATTGAGACTGATAGGGTAAAACTCTAGTCATAAGAGTCTCAGGAGAAGTTAAAATGTTTTAACTGTAAACAAAGGTTTAAGTCTTGTCCTTGATCTTCCCAGAAAATACCTGGGAAAGGAGTAAGGTGACACTTAAAGGTCATATAGGATTAGATTTTAAGCATAGTTCACTACTATTTTAACATTCTTTTCTATACAAAAGGAATATTGTCTATGTGGGTAACCACAGAAAATATTAATTGTGCTAGAATTCTTGATTCTTAGTAAAAGACTTCAATCATATTCCATCTCAATAATTTTCCCTGTCTCTTTATCCTGCCTCATAACTGTTAAATTCTTATACAAATATATCAGACCCAGGATATTACTTGCTGTCAGTTACCACCTCAGGATGCGGAGGGTTCTAGAGCTGAAGCTCAGGGGATCAGTCTCAACTTTGAAGCTCATTAACTTTGTGAGGATCTCTTAAGATCTCAGCTCCTTCATCTATATAATAACATTGAGTTTAACAAACTTTTTTCTCCAGGACTTTTTTTAAATGTCTTCAAAGCAATTAGGAGAGTACCAGATGCACAGTGAAAGCCAGTGTGTGGTAACTATTGTTCTTCCTATTGGCATTCCCACCAATTAGATTAGTAAGCCTTTTAAAGAATCGCAGGTATGTTATTTTAAAATATAAACAGGATCCTCATTTGGACCAAACAAGTGTCCTTAATAAATAAAAACAGTCACAAGTAATCTATAAGAAGCATATAAGAATACAATACTAAGCAATACTGATTTGTATTCCTCTGTATAAATAAAAGAGATATGAAGCTAATTTTAAAAACTGTGTTCTCCTAAGTTGGCAAATGTGTATGCTATTCAGGTTTATTTGCTTGATATTTATGTGGGCTTTTTAAAAGCATGTTTGTTTGTAGTATTAGAATTTGAACACAAAGCCTTACATATGCCAGGTAAACTACCACTGAGCTACAGCTTCAGCCTTCTTTTTTTATTATTTTCAGACAGGCTTTCACTAAATTTTCTGGGCTGAACTTGCACTTGCAATGCACCTGCCTCAGCTACCTGAGCAACTGGGATTGCTAGCCCTCATCACTACACCTAGATGCAAATATGCTATTTGATTAGAGGGAAGGGAGGAGACAAGCTGAGAAGATCCTTGAGTTTCAGGAAAAGAATTCTTAACCCTTCATTAAATTATCACAAATGTGTATTTCTTTAAATCTAATTAAAGTGCTTTCATAGCACTATCCAATTATATTAAAACCACAGAAGAGTTTTAAATATCTAGGGTTTTTTATGTATAATGAGCTATAAAATACTTATTAGAATGATCTGACAAGAGAGAGTATGATTAGCTCACACCACATAAGTAACTGCATGTTCACAAAACAGTTTTCAAGAGTCCCTGAGACTTGCTAACTTTGACAAGATGAGAAAACCCTGGCAGAAAGTATAGCACAGAGCTGGGTTAGGTCTGTCTCTGAGAATAGTGCACCCATACCTTAGGGTTGCCATTGGTTCCTGTCATGAACAGGAATGGCTGGAATGGGATGGGGAATAGGGCGGACTAGCAAGGTCCTAAGTAGCTTGGGGCAAGTAAGGGGAACTGAGGGGAGAGGTTCACATTATAAAGAGGGTGGAAGTGGGTAAGTTCCAGAAAACCAGGTGACAGAATGGGATTTTAGACTCTGAGCAACTACAAAGAAAGGCTAGAGTCCACATTGCTAGGTTTAGAACGGGTTTAGAATTAAGATGAGCAAGAGCAGAGGTCAAGTTGAGACTCTCCTGCTGGGAGACTAGGAAGGAGCTGGTCCTCCCAATTCAAGCAGAGAGCACTTCTGCCAAGTCCCTCCCACAGGGCACTGTCCCCAAACTGTAACAAAACTGCAGGTGTGTCAAAGCAGAAATATAAATCCTAGCCATTCTTAAGTGTTTCCATTTAAGCAACCAATGGCTTTAACACATATACACATACAGAAGTATCATATGGGTGTATTATACAATGCAATATAAATTATGCTGGGAGGGAGAAGGGAGAGAGAGGAGAGAAAGAGGGAAAGAGGAAGAGAGCAGAGGAGAGGAGAGGAGAGGAGAGGAGAGGAGGGGAGAGGAGAGAAGAAGGGCGAAAGGCATGCAAGGGGCCATGGTGTGGGGGAGGGAGGGAAATAAGGAGAGGGATGATGGTAGGAGTTGGGTGATATTTGGGTGATGGTGGGGATAATGGGGGTACTGTGACTAGGGAGGGAGGAAGGAGGGATGCCAGATAGGAGGAAAAAATAGTAGAGATGAATGAATCTAGGAGAGGAGAGGAGAGGAGAGGAGAGGAGAGGAGAGGAGAGACAGAGACAGCGAACATGAAAGTCTATAAGGAGGAACCAGGCAGCTGCTAGAACAAATGCTGATGTTTGGTGTGGGCGGCTGCACAGCACATCTGTCCGAATCAGACACCAAAATTACCTCCAGGAAGTTCCCTATGCACTCCCATTCTACTCTAAGGGTTGGTGTTCAGATGTTTCAAGGCTTAAGCAGTGGAAGGCCAGAAATGAGAGGAAGAAAAACTTAAAGAAAAGCTAGGTGTGACTTCAGTGTTGCTCCTGATCTTCCTTATAGGGCTCTGTACCATACCTCCATCCCAGAAGTTAATGGCTGAAGCAACTAAAAAGGAGCAGCTCATTAAAAGGTATGAAATATATTTTGCTGTAGGGGAATAATTAGTAAGTCTGGTCACCTGCCTAGACACAGATGTCTATGGCCTGTGACTCTATCTTCTTGCCTCACCTTCATATTCATGGCCCAAGGAAATCCATTCTATCTTTGTTTATTTCCCACCTCGTGCAGGCTGTGACTTCTCTGTATTTGATGGCATCTCATCTTCCTCAGTCCTTAAACTTGATCAGCCCCCAAATTAGGTCTCACTTCTAGATGGCCTCATCCAGGCCTATGACTTTAAATACCATCAAATAATTGTGGCTCACAAATTTATTTCTAACCCAGATGTTTGCTCAAAGGTCCATACTCTAATTCCCTCCAGATAGCTGCACCTTAATATTTAATAGCTATCTCAAACTTAATATATAAATAGATATGTATAGACTTTTAAAAAGACATTTTAAACATTTTATTTGTGTGCATGAATATTTTGCATGCGTGTATGTAAGTGTACCAAGTGTGTGCAATGCCTGTGGAGGCCAGAAGAATGCATTAGATCCCCTGGAACTGGAGTTACAGATGGCTGTTAGCCACCATGTATGTGCTAGGAACCAAACCAAGGTCCTCTGCAAAAGCAGCCAGTGCTCTTAACCACTAAACCATCTCTCCAGCCCCATCTGAACTTTTTTGAAACATGTTTTTGTTATGTTACCCAGGTTGGCTTTCAACTCCTGGGCTTAAGTGATCTTCCTGTGTCAGCCTCCCATGGAGCTGGGACTACTCCTATCCCTCTTTATGTATGTGATGCTATTTGTATGTGTCCATATTTATAGTGCTTTCTGATCCTGTTCATTCATCAACAACAACTGCATTTGGACTGATCGGGCTTTATCCTCATATCAAACCAAGAGCTAAAAGCTTATTGCTTCCCTCTCTATTTCCTGTAACAAATTTTCCCTCACAAATACCCTTGGTCAAAAAAACTCCTCTTCCTATTCTTTTCCAACAGAGAAAAGCATCCACAAAACATAATTTGATTCTAAAATAGAAGTAACAAAATTGCTGGGTAAGGGGTAGATTTTATAACTTGAAAATGTGCAGAAAGGAATGATTAATAAAGTCATTTATCTTTTTTTTTTTTGGCCATAGGGGTGTGATTAAAGATACCAGTAAAGACAAACTCAACTTCATTTCCTACTTGGATGAGCTTGCTGCATGCATAGGCTCGAAGCCTAACATCCCATTTCTGTTCATCACAGATCCCAGGCTAGCTTGGGAAGTTTTCTTTGGACCATGTACCCCTTACCAATACCGCCTAGTGGGCCCTGGAAAATGGAGTGGAGCCAGAAATGCTATCCTGACCCAGTGGGACAGGACCATAAAACCGTTAAAAACAAGAATTGTTACTAATTCTCCTGAGCCTGCCTCCCTGTCACGCTACTTAAAAGCTTGGGGGCCACCTGTCCTGCTTGCCTCTCTTTTACTAATCTATAAATATTCTCTCTTTCTTAAATTGGTGCAATATAAACTACAAGGCAGAATTTCCCCTTACCTAAGGCTATGGCATGCCCCCAGAATTCATGAGTTGGCAAATTGGTCTGCAGTGTGACATGAGGCCTCCAGCCTCCTACGTGAATTGATGCTGCACTCAGCTGCTAGAGTAGTAAACATAAGAGCAGATTGTTCTAAAGGCTGCACCTTGTTTCAACACTTGCTTGTGTGTTTACTTGCCCATCTCCCCTCTACTATGTTATGACACAGTACAAACCTCTTAGTAGAAGCTGCCACTATGTCCTTAAACCTTCCAGCCTCTAGAACTGCAAACAAAATAAACCTGTTATTTTACCCATTCTGTGAATTTTGTTATGATCATGGGAAATGGTCTGTAATGCCTAATAAGTATTTGGAGAAGATTAATCTGATTGGCTACAAAGGTTGCATCAAGTCACGATAATTCTATCTTCGTATATTTTGCACGTGCCTCCTCTCCATTCCAGCATACCTTCCACGTGCAGGTCCAGTCATGTCCTACCAGAATTCCTGCATGCTCGTACTTCTTTCTAGTGCAGAGTCCCTGCTACCTAAACCATTGTTCTAGATAAACATATCATCATTATTTCTATCAAGGTGCTGGTAGAAGAAACAGTCAAATTAGCTACTCTGTGAAATATTATTTTATTTTTGCCATCACGTGCATGTGTATATGCATGATGGAAGGCACGTGTCACAGTGTGTGGTGGAGGTCAGAGGACAACTTTGTGGAGTAGGTTCTCTTCTACCTTTAGATGGACTCCAGAGATTGAACTCAGTTCACCAAGCTTTCAAGGCAAGCGCCTTTACCCACTGAACCATCTCACCAGTCTGTGAAACTTTAAGTTTTTTTTTTTTTAATTTGGGCAGTGTGTGCCAGGTGTGGTGGCACACACCTTTAATCCCAATACCCGGGAAGCAAAGAAAGGCAGGCAGATTTCTTCAAGCTTAAGATCAGCCTGGTCTGCAGAGCAGGTTCCAGGTCAGCTGGAGCTACAGGGAGACCCTGTCTCAAAAAAAGCAAACAAAAATTGGGGCAGTGGAGGGAAATTATAAAGAAATACCTCCCCCATCCCAAAGGCTGGTAACAATGAGATAATTCTACCATCCTGGGACTTAAAGAAGCAAAGGGAAGAATCAATTATTAAAAAGAAAAATATCTGTGCAGAAAGAGCCGCCTAGAAAGAACAATGACTTTCAGCTGAGTGATAAGGACAGCACATGACAATCCCAAAAGCGGAAAGCTGAGAGAATAAATTATCTTTCTCTGTTATCGATCCACTGCCAATGCTCCCCAGTGACTGACTTCAACTAAACCCCAGAGGACAGTTCAGCGCATTAACGAAATTCAACAGTGTCTTTCACTAGCCTGTTCTACACAGCCTTCTCTGAACTCCTGAGCAATTGAGCCTGGCTGTGGAATGACCACACCTTGTACTATTCTGGCATTGCTCCCTTCTTACTGTAGTGCTCTAGTTTCATCTAGTTGTAGTTGCTGTGCTAAAACCCTGATAAAAAGCGACTTGAAGAGAAAGGGTCTATTTCAGCTCACAGTTGCCAGTTACAGTCCATCATGGCAGAGACATCAAGACAGCAGGAACCTAAAGGAGCAGGCCATGTCCACAGGCTCAGACAGTAATGAATATGTGCATGGTTATTGCTCAGCCAGCTCTCTATACTCGTAAAATTCATGGCCCAGACCAGAGAATGGTGTCACCACCACATCCAGGTTAGGTCTTCCAACCTCAATTAACCCAACTGAGAAAAATCAGACTTGCACATAGGCCAACCTGATCTAGGCAGTTCCTCACTGAGACACTTTTCTGAAGTGATTCTAGATCATGTCAAGATGATGATCAAAACTAACCATCACATGTGGTATCGCTGGTCTTTTTATTTTATGTGTACGAATGTATTGCCTACATGCATGTGTCCTCTGTGTCATACAATGCCTGCAAAGATCAGTAAAGGACTTAAGATGCCCTGGAGTTATGTAAGGTTGTTAGCTGCCATGTGGATACTGGGAACTGAACCCGGGGTCCTCTGCAAGAGCAGTCAGTTCTCATAACCACTGAGCCATCTCTCTAGCCCCTCACTGGTCTTTTTAAATGTAATAAATGGTGAATCATATATATAAATACATATATATTTCATTTTAAGCATTTCTTAATAAAAGTATTTCTAAATAAATATTTGAGTATTTGACCACTAAACAGTGACTTCACTGGCTAACATTCCTTGTCTGTCTTCACCTACCCTCATTCTTCTGCCAACAAGATGCTTCATCTCAGATTAACTCAGCTTTGTAAACAAACAAGGATAGTCTACCAATAGTTAATCTTATTAGCAGAAAACAATCCACCTGACAAGTAGACGAACTGTAATCACACAGTGACTATGAAACAAGTGTACTGGTTAAGATGACTAACCAGTAGGAAACCAGACTGAGGAGAACAAAATAGAAAGAGACCTGAATTTCAACCCTACTCTGTTGTTAGCTTTGAAGCCTTGGCCTAGTTGCTTAGCCTCAGGGTCTCCATCTGGAAAATGGTGGTATTAACAGCAGCTACCTTAAGGTGAGCATTGTGTGGAAAACGCAAAGCATTTGATTAAATTAAATTAATAAAGTAGTAAGTTGACTGTTGATAGTCACAAAATTGGAGGACATTTTCTATTCTCTGAATTAAAGGACTTGAAAACCACTACTTGTTCCCTATTGCTGTTCCGTGTTGTGTAATCAGGAGATGTGACTTTTGTTCTCCAATATTTTTCCATGGCAATTAATTTCCAGCTAGTATCAGTCTCCTTGAATAACCCATCATCATCACCCAGATGAACCCTCCAGAGTACAGCAGGTACACATTAACAAAGGAGAAACTGTTCTCAAATATTAGAAGTGGCCCTTCCTTTATAACTAGTTAATGTGTCTAGGTTCTTACTGACAACTCCCCAGTACAAGGGGCACCTAATTCCAACCTTCAAAACCAAGTCAAGTTGACCAAAAGGAGCAAGGTCCATATAACTATTATTGTTATCTCCTTGCAAGTTGCTAAGGGGGAGAGTAGAAACAAGATATCTTTACTAGCTCACTATAACTTAGATATACATGTGCTATTTTTTTCTATGTATAATTTTCAAATAAAAAAATCAAAGACTCAGAGAAGTAATTTGCCCAAATGTATGCAACCTTAAAGCCCAGGCTGTCTCACTAGCTGCCTGCAGAGACAGCTTCTCTGTCTGCTTCCAGCCACTTTAGTTTTAACTGTCACTGAAGCCCCAACCTGAACACCTTGACACTGCCTCCTCCAGGAAGCCCGCTCTTGCCTGTTCACAGTCCTTCCTCCTTGCTACCTCTACACCTTGAACAGATTTCTAAATACTGTTCTTACCATACACCATGACTCCAGGGCTCAAAGGACAAATGATACCACGAAAAGGCCACTATAACTGAATCCATTGTAAATGAGAATCAAAATTTCATAGTAATAGGGGGAAATATTAGGTTTGATCAAGACTTCAACTTCAGAAACAAAACTAGAAATTATGAAAATATTCTTTCTTTTTATTTTATTTTATTTTATTTCTTTTTATTTTTATTTAATTGAGACTGTGGGCCAACAGGGAACGCCTAAATGTGTAAGAATATATGACAGAAACACAGAAACACCCTCTGTTAAACCCAGCGCAAGTCACAGAGGAACACCACACAACGATGATCAAATTAAGAGTCCTTTATTAGTCAGCAGTCAAGAGCAGGCTGATGCCAGAAAAAACTCTTAACCATGAAAAGAGGCGAGGTAAGGTTTACAAAGCCCCCCAAAAATTACATCATACCAGGGGCAGGCCAGATAACAAAAGACATTTCAGTAAGACATTTCTCAAAAATAAGTTTTCTTCCTGGTGCTAGAAAAACTATGGAGTTCCTAGAATGCAGGGGCATCTGGATAAGAACATACTGCCCTGCAAGATGTGCTTATCAGGGGCAGGGGTGTCTGGGAGAAGCACAGGGGTGAACAAAAATAGAGTCAGAACAAAATGGAGTCATCTGGGTAGTTTACCTCCACCTCATATAACTTTCAAAACTAGGTTAGTGTTGCCTTTAAACATTATTAAACTTATTCATTTATTTACTCTGTATATGTGTGTGGACATGCACGTACCATGGCACATATGTAGATGTCAGAGGACAACTCATGGAAGTCAGTACTCTCCATACACCATGTGAGTTCCAGGGATCCAACTCAGAAGGTCATGCTTGGAGGCAAGTGCCTTCACCCGCTGAGTCATCTCTCTGGCTCAAGATTGGTGATTGTTTTAATATTTGAAGTTTGATTTTTTTTGCTAAGTACACAAATTTTAATTCCTTCATATTCCTATGTCCTTTGAAATTCCTGATGTGTCAGCATGCTTGCCAATTATCTCTACATCATTTTTAAATTTATCTTATGTGGTTTAATTTGGCTAGATTCAGATTTACCAGTGGCTTAGCAATTCTCCAACGGTATCCTCAACAATTTTATGAAATCCTTCCTTTTGCAAGGTGTGTAGTTGTACTTTATCCCTGGTTTTCATTTTATTGTCTATATTATCACACAGTCAACAGACACAGATGACTGATAAGACGTTGGATACAAAATCTGTAGACCATGAGTCTCTGGCATAAAAGGGTATAATATTTGCATATAACCTGTGCACACTCTTCCACACACTTCAAATCTTCTCTGTATTGCCTATAATGCCTAATAAGTGCTGTGAAAAAGACTCCTTAAAATGGAAGTTGTCCTAATTCTCAGACTAGGTCCTGTGTCCCATTATTTTTTCTCATTGCACCCTGCATCTTTGCACCAAAATCCTTCTCACAAGAATTCATAATTATCAATTACTTAGCTTTTACCACAACCAACAGACTATAAAGTGTCATTAAAACAAAGATCATAGGGGCTGGAGAGATAGTGCAGCAGTTAAGAACACTGACTGTTTTTGCAGAAGACCCGGGTTCGAATCCCAGCACCCACATGGCAGCTAACAACTGTCCATAACTCCAGTTCCAGGGGATCTGACAGTCTCTTATGTCTTCCACAGGCATTGCATGACATGGGTGCACTTACCTACACGCAGGCAATACACACATACACATAAAATGAAAATAATAAAATATTTTTAAAAAATAAACAAAGATCATATCTGTTTTCTGTTACATTCTCAGAATGTGGCTCAATATACACAGATGGGCCCTCAATTAACAGGAGTTGAATGAGTCAAATAATCAACTGAAGATGGATGACAGGTGTGCTGGTGGGTGGACTGATGGATGGATGGGTG